CACTTTGGGTCTCGACCCCAACTTTGGGAAACACTGCCCTATATGATATATTTTACTGATTTTTTTTATCCAAACAATCAATGATTTATAAAGATAAATCAGGTAAATTAACAAGGCTGCCCAAACTTTCGCACCGCACTGTTTGTTGCCTTATGAGATCCAAGGGTGTTCTGCATAGACGACTAGAACAAGAATACTTGTTGTTGTGGTCCGGTGTAGATTTTTTTCAAACTAGTTGTTGGCATCAAATTAAAAATGAGAAAACAGTTTGTCTTTTTTTAACTTTCAGTCAAGATAAATCATACATTTTGTTTATTTCAGTTTGTCTGTTTAACAACAGTCATCTTTCTTAGAATTTGGCCTTTTTTTCTCTTTACTTTTATTGTTAACACAAATAAAAACTATGACAATTCAAGTTTCAACTAGACTTGTGACCAAAATAAACAACCACAACAGGCACTGATGTTTGTTTATCTTTAAGAATCATTTTAAACCTCAGGATTTGTTTACACTCCAATTTATCATTATTGGCCTTAAACAGTGCGGTTCTGATGTGTTGCTGCTGTAATATATGCCTTAACTCCACTGCTTTACTTGTTGCTGATATTTAGTCCAACCTTTATTTTCCTGATGTCACCATGTGAACCTGTGTCATCTGTCCCGTTCTTTCTCTCCAGGTTTAGTTTCTTCTCTCGTGACAAACAGCGCAGYTTGCAGCGAGGCGTGCAGTTCGACTCCAGCTTCAACCCCTGGACACCAAAAGATGAGGCGTACACAGAACAAGCCCAAGAGGCCTTACAGCACATGTAGTCTCTGCATCACAGCACTCCACCGCACAACAAACTACCACCAGCAACTGCAGCTGAAATAAAATGTGCTTCAAGGTGAAGGACTCTTGAAGAAATGCATCAAAACATCTAATTTAACCCTGAACAATCTGTCGGAAGGAGATGGCTCAAAAGACTGAACAGCTTTTAAAATTTCAGCAAGTGATTTGGTTTAACAGGAAGTCTTAGTTATGAAACTTATGTTGAAGGATGTGAAATAATGCAGAACAAACAGAATGAGTGTTAGARCAAAGAGAAGACATAAAAAGTCTGCTACAGTTTACTTTGATAGAAATGTTATATTGTTCAGATTAACTCAAGTTTTTTTATTTCATTCTAAGCAACATATGGCCCGATAAACATCCATTTCTTGATGTTTTACAGTGTCTCCAAAACTAAAATGCGGTGGTAATGGTTGGTTTTTAGTTTCTTGTGTAAAAATTGTGTTTATGAATTAACAGTTTTTCCAAACCTCTTTTATTTGGCATTTTCTAAAAGAAGGGTTTAACATTTTTAACAATTCCTCATACAGTTCCCTCTAAGCATTGGAACAATAAATCAAATTCCCTTGTTTTTGTTAGACACTGAAGACATTTGGGTTTAAGATCAAAAGATGAGCATGAGACAAGAGTTCCGAATATCAGCTTTCATTTTCTGGTATTTACATGTACGGGTTTCATTGTCCTGCTGCATGAGTTTGGGTGCATTTCTCAGTAAATTGGCAGACAAAATGTTTCTGTACATTTCAAAATTCATTCTGCTGATATCATTATCAGTTACACCTGCACCATGCTTCACAGATGAGCTTGTGCGCTTCGTATCATCACCAGATCCTTTCTTTCTCAACACCTTGGCCTTTCCATCACTTTAGTAAAGMTTAATCTTGGTCTCATCAGTCCACAAGATTGTCTTTCAGAACTTTTGAGACTCATCTCTGTGCTTCTTTGCAAATTTCAATCTGGCCTTCCGATTCTTATTACTTATGAGTGGTTTGCATCTTTGGATATGGCTTCTATGTTTCTGCTCTCTGAGTCTTTTTCCAACAGTGATTTGTGATACCTTCACCCCTGCACTGTGGAGGTCATTGGTGATGTCATTTCCTGATGTTTTGTTTTTTTTTTCTTCACAGCTCTCACAATATTTCTGTCATCAACTACTGTTGTTTTTCTTGGCCGACATGTTGGATGTCTATTGCTCAGTACACCAGTTGTTTCTTTCTTATTCAAGACATTCCAAATTGTTGTGTTTGCTATGCCCAATGGTTGTCCAATGGTTCTGATTGATTTTCCTTCTTTTCTCAGCTTCAAAATGGTTTGCTTTTCATCCGTATGATCAGGCAGCTCCCTGGTCTTTATGTCGGTTTATCTYTTTAACAAGAAATACTTACTTTATAAGTTTAAACCCAGGCCAAAAAGTAGRCTAGTCATGCAGAGCTATTTGATGTTTGAACAATCAATCTTAAAAGTAACGCCTTGTCAATAAGAAACACCTRTCAGTCAGTCACATGTTCCAATAGTTTTCTCACCTGAAGAATGGGTGGGTTCAGACAAAGGGTGTTTCTGAGTTGTTTAACACATCTACTTGTAAATACAAGAAAATATAAGTTGACATTTGGAACTCTTGTCTCATGCTCATCCTTTGATCTTAAACCCAGATGTCTTCAGTGTCCATCAAAAAACAAGGGAATTTGACTTGCTGTTCCAATATTTCTGGAGGGGACTGTGTGATCATTGGATTTTTCAATTTTTTGTCTATGAAGATGGACACAGTCATTATAATTTTAAATTTTGGTTCATTTACCACATCAAACCTTTGAGTTTAAGGGTTTAATCCATCAGTATTTCTGTTCTGCAGTTTCTGATTGAAAACCTTTAGACTAGACTTGGAGAACTTTATACTGAAATATGCTAAATTTTTATTTTTCTTTATTTGTGCCTAATTGATCATTGTTTGTTGTTCCAGAACCAGACTGAGTATGAATGTTTTAAAAATGAAAAAGACACACAAGTTGGCATATTTTATGATAACAAATATTCATTCTTGTGTGCCATTATATATAAAGCAAGTCCAATATTCCAGAGAAGAGATTTTATTAACAGAATTACTAAGTTTGCTACAACTTGCCCAAACAGGAAATGGAAGAAGCGGCGATGTTGCATGCAGACCAGACTGTGAACCCTGTCAAAGGGAGCATTTGTCATTAATATGATCAAATACAGTGAAAACCAGTTTCTGTCCTCTATAAAAAGGCACAGAACCCTTTTTCCTCATTTACAGTAATTCAGACAAAACCTTTTCTGTTTTAGGTCAGGTAGGATTCCCCAAATTATCATTGTGTTTAATTTATAAATAAGAGATTTTTTTTATTTGTTGTAGACAATTTATATTGCATTTTTCCAAGTCACAAGTTTACATAAATTATAACTAAACAATTTGGGGAAGGCTAGATGACACTGATGTCATGGCTTTGAAAGTTTTTGATAGGTTTGTTGGCTAAATTTAAACTAAATGGAGGCACACCTCTAACACACCTCTTTGGGATCATGGAAAATTAAAGGTGTATTGGCAGACCAAGTAGACCGCAGCCCTGGCCGTTGCTGAGGCAAAAGCTGGTCTGTCCATAACTGGAGCTGAGGCTGCTGAGGTAGTTAAAAAGCTCCACGGTGGCAGGGCTCCAGGGGTTGATGAGGTCCGCCCTGATTTCCTCAAGGCATTGGACGTTGTAGGGCTGTCCTGGTTGACACACCTTTGCAACATCATGTGGACATCGGGGGCAGTGCCACTGGATTGGCAGACTGGGGTGGTGGTTCCTCTCTTTAAAAAGGAGGATCGGAGGGTGTGCTCCAATTACAGAAGCATCACTCTCCTTGGTCTCCCTGGTAAGGACTTTTCAGGRGTACTGGAGAAGAGAGTCTGATCGATAGTCGAACTTCAGATTCTGGAGGAACAATGCGGGTTCTGTCCTGGCCGTGAAAGACTGGACCAAATCTTTACTCTCGCTAGGGTCCTTGAGGGGTCATGGGAGTTTGCTAATCCAGTTTACATATGTTTTGTGACTTGGAGAAGGCATTCGACCGTGTTCGTTGAGGTACACTGTGGGGGGTGCTACGCGAGTATGGTATTGTGGGTCTGTTGGTACGGGCCATTCGTTCAGTCTCTATACAAGTGGTGCCAGAGTTTGGTTCGCATTGCCGGTAGTAAGTTGGATCCCTTCAGAGTGGGAGTTGGACTCTGCCAGGGCTGCCCGTTGTCACTGATTCTTTTCATAACTTACATGGACAGAATTTCTTGGTGCAGCCAAGGGGCAGAGGGAGTCCGGTTCAAGGGCCTCAGGATTTCATCTCTGCTGTTTGCAGATGATGTGGTTCTATTGGCGTCATCGCACCAGGGTCTTCAGCTCTCACTAGAGCGGTTCGCAGCTGAGTGTGAAGCTGTAAGGCAAAGCTCTCTGTTTACCATTCAGTCTACGCTCCTACCCTCACCTATTGTCACAAACTTTGGGTGGTGACTGAAAGAACAAGATCACAGATACAAGCAGTCAAAATGAGTTTTCTCCGCAGGGTAGCTGGACTCTCCCTTAGAGATAGGGTAAAAAGTTCAGTTATCCAGGAGAGACTCAGAGTAAAGCCGCTGTTCCTTCACATCAACGGGAGCCAGTTGAGGTGGTTTGGGCATCTGGTAAGGTGCTTCAGGCAATGTCCAACTGGGAGGAGACCCAGAGGAAGATCCAGGACATGCTGGAGAGACTATATCTCTCAGCTGGCCTGGGAACGCCTTGAAGTCCTCCCAGAAGAGCTGGAAGAGGTGGCTGGTGAAAGAGAGTTCTGGGCTTCCCTGCTCAAGCTGCTGCCCCAGCGAACTGACTTCGGATAAAGCGGAATATAATGGATGGATGGATGGATGGATGGATGGATGGATGGATGGATGGATTGATGGATGGATGGATGGATGGATGGAGTGTTAATCCCAAAACAAAACTAAAGACCTGGTGAAGATGCTGCCTGAAGCTGGTCTGAGTGGCATTATCTACAGTGAAACAATCCCTGTACCAACATGGGCTGAAAAAATACATTACTCCTAAATCAACAACACAAAAATCCAGATCCTTTTGAAAATTGCACACAAGGACAAAGACCCTATTTTGGAGACATGTTCAGTAGTCAGATGAAACTGAACCGTTTGGCTATAATGACCATCATTTGGAGGAAAAGGGATCAGCTTGAAACAGTAAGAAAACCAACCTAACTATGTAGTACGGGGGTGGAAGCATCATGTTGTTGGGGTGTTGTGCTGCAGGAGGAAGGCAACATCTGAAGACACTGGGCAGGAAGTTTAAGCTTTGGCACTGTAATGGAACTAATACTTTTATGTTTAAGCAAGTAATTCATAACATACTTTAATGACCTAGGTTTTTATGACATGCTGTT